TTAATTTTTTTCTAGAATGATTCAATTCTATGTCCGATCAAAAAACCTTATGATATACTAATCGTTCAAAGATCTACATTCTTGGTTTTAGTGCGACAGCATCGCACAGCTACCTTATTGAAAAAAATCTATTTCTTTTAGGTGCTACTGCAATTGAGGATAAATTACAGGAAGGTGTTCCAGAAATAATTCGTACACTTCAATAAGCTGGGATTAACATTTAGGTCCTTATTGGTGATGGGCAAGAAACTGCTATAAATATTGGACTTAGTTGTAAATTAATTAATGAGGAATTACTTTAATCACTGTGAATAAAGAAAGTCATTGGAAAACAAAAGAATTTTTAGAGAAAAGAATTCAATCGCTTAAAGGTCGAATTAATCTGGATATTGAAGTAAGTTTATAATCAATAAACTTTGATTTTTTAATCATGAAATAACGTGAATATACATAAATGTAGCCTCTTGCTTTTGTCGTACACTTGGATTTGCTTTTGACAAGGAAATTGAAGGGGTTTTTCTTGAGCTTGCAACTATGTGCAAAGCAGTTATATGCTGCAGAGTGTCACCACTCCAAAAAGCATTTGTTGTAAAACTAGTGAAACGTCATCTTAAAGCCATTCTTTTAGCCATTGGTGATGGTGCAAATGACGCCCAATGATTCAGGCAGCTCATGTTGGCAGAATCAAGCCAAAATTGAATTATCTCCATGATCGTCTATTAGTTTACCTACAACCACAGAACCTTCTTCACCAGCACTATCGACAATAGTGTTTGCAGGTTTTTGAAGAGCAGTTTTTATGATATTTACGCCTAATTATTGATTAAAATTCGAGGTTTTAAGGACTTTAAACATTTGATATATTTCAAATAGCTTTTGCAGTTTTTTGAAGTGCAGTTTTTATGATATTTACGCCTTCCTTCCTCAACAGCTGCACGTGTTGTATTCAAAGCATCAACGAATTGATCTTTTTTTTCATTGTCTTAAACTTCTGAAGAACCACATACTCGAATAACAGCAATCCCAACTGATAATTTCGCAAGTCTTTCTTGTAGTTATATATAGTGATCGGATTCAGATACTTAAATGGAAATCAGGTACTATGTTTCCAGCAATAACTATTGGATCAATTGCTTAAGTCATGTCTCAGGTCATGACTCAAGCTGTAGCTTCAACATCCATGGAGCCATTAATTATAAGAGCCAAGCCAAGCCAAGTCATACAAATCGTTAATAGTTCTGATAAGCTAATTACAGTCATAAATTGATAAATGATAAACATTATAATATCGAAAATAGGAGAAATACATTGACCGCAAAAAGGATCCAGTGAAGTGACAGTAAAGCACCAACAAACGAGACAACATTTAAGACATTGAAAAATACACCAACAAGCGACGACACCAGTATACAACAATATCGAACTGACAAGGATAAAACATACGACATCCCAACAGCACAACAATAACGTGATAAAAAAAGATTTGTTATTAAAAAAAAAAAGAATAAAAAACAATATAGACAAAAAAAATTGATACTTATTTAGATGACCCAACGCTAAAAAAAAGATATGTTACGTAGTCACAAGAACAATTACTTATATGAGCAGATCTTGCAGATC